CCTCCTGGTCCCAGCTTTCAATCATAGTCTTGGTATGTATCCTTCTTTCTTGTTATTTTTCAATTGTCTTCATCTCCCACCGCTCTCCCCAGCTTCAGATCCTACACTGTGGAGGTTGTGGCAAGAATTGTTTCTTCTGTTGAAGTTACCTGGAGAAGATGATGGTGCTTTGCTTCAAAATCCTAATTGTACTATCACACACACACACACACCGACTTTGCAAAAGCTCCATACATTATTTCTATCTGCCACAGATACTTAAATTACTATATGCTATGTTAAGTTCTATGACAATATGCATGACAGATGAGTTCTGAAAATTGAATTTTGTGGGTTATTCTATAAATAGGCTGGAGCAGTATGATAAAATATTTATGGAAACAGTGGAAGTCCCATTTGACCCAGCTATTCCCCTGCTGTGTATCTTCCCCAAAGAATCATATCACAGTGATATACGTGTACCCATGTTTATAGCAACACAGTTTGTAATAGCTAAAACTTGGAAGCATCCCAAATGCCCATTAACTGGAGACTGGATAAAGAAAATGTGTTTTTTTAAAAAAATAAAAAGGAGTACTACTCAGCCATCAAAAACAAGAAATTAGAGACATTTATTGTTAAATGGATTCACATTGAGGCGATACTCTTAAGTGAAATAAATAGGACACGTGTAAATACTGAATAGTTTCTCTGGTGTGAGAAACTGAAAGTGTAAATAAGGACTTAAAATTATAATAGATAATGTGAAATAGGAAGAAAAGGGGCAAAGTGCAAGGGGAAGTTGGAGGTGTATGTGAAAGGAAAGAAGGGAATGGAATATGAGAAAATGAAAAAAGGAAACAAAGTGTTTGTAAATAGGGAGGGATGGAGGGGCTGAAGGGAGGGCAGGGGAATGGGGAAAAATAAGAACCAAGAGAGTATGTAAAGGTGCATATTTCCAATGATGAATGTCATTATATTGTACACCTAAAATGTACCAATTAAAGGTTAGAGGTGGGTCACTGTACATGTTACCTATGAGGGTATATTCTTGCCCCCCCCAGGGCTCCCCATTCTTCACTGGTTCTCATTCTCCCTCTCCTCACCTCTCCCTTCCTCTCCTTTCATTCTCACTCACTCTGGTTCTTTTCTTCTATTTCCAGCCACTATGAGGTGAACAGCTTTCCTCTGCCATGATGTTTCAGCCTTGGAGCCTGGTGCCCATGGACTGAAACCTCTCATTAAAGTTGTGGTTGTCAGGTATTTTGTCCCAGCAATGGAAAAGTGAGTAATAAACCATCCCCTCATCCTTTAGCTCTTTAAAGGTGGCACTAATCTGATCCCATAGGTTGTGTGATGGTTAAATTTAATTAGCTTGGGAGCCACCCAGAGGATAAGTAAAGCACTTCTAGGTGTATCTGGGTAGGTCCTGGAGGCATGACCTTGGAGTCTTTATATCTGGTCTCTTGACCTTTCCTCTCTCGCTCTTAAAAGCCTGTGTTGTTTGCATTTTCCCTCTCTGGGATAAACTTATTATCTTCAAATTCGCAAATTCTATTTTCTGTTGTGTCCAATCTGCAGTTAAAACTCATTAAGTTTTTACCTATTTTTTTTAGTTGTAGCATACACCGTGTATTTTATCCAGTTTTAGCAATGCCAAATATTTTGAAGTCCTACATCATTTACTGATTTTCTTTTAAATGCATGGTAATTTAGTGCTACCAACTCCAAAAACAAAATCATTTAAATATTCTGCATTTTCCTTTGCTGCCAAAAAAATCACCCCAAATTTAGTAGCTTAAAAGAATTAACTGATAGGTCTACAGGTTCAGAAGTCTAGATGGGCCTAGCTCATTTCTGTCTCCCAAGGGAATAATCAAGGTATAGGTTGAGCTGAGCTCTTATCTGACAGCTGTTGGGAAGAATCTGCTTCTAAGCTCATGCAGGTTGTTGGCTGAATTCTGTTCCTGGTGGTTGTAGGACCAAGGTCCTCATCTCCTGGCTGGCTCAGTTGGGGACTGCTCTCAGATCCTGGAGTCACTTACAATTTTTTGTCATGAGCTGTCTTGATTCTAGTAACAGAAAATATCCTTTGTGTTGAATCACTCCAATCTGAATTCTCTCTTTCCACTCAGCTGATAAAACTATCTTCTTTTAAAAGGGCTTGCATGAAAAGATTAATTTCACTCAGATAATCTCCCTTTGGCTGAGTAATGTAACACAATCACAGAAGTGATAAGATATTCATAGGTCCCAACACTCAAAGGGTAGAGGGGATTGTATAAAGAGCATCATTGAAGGTCATTCTTAGAATTCCACCTAGCACAACTTGTTCATTTTCTGTCATAGCTGCATTTCTCTGCCTTTTCTCACACCTAGTACTTTTTTGGGCATGAGACATTGTCTATTTAAAAAGTGTAGAGGCTGTAGTTGACTGGGCTTACCTTTTCCTCCTAATGTAAAGTTAGGAACTGATCACCTTAAAACAATGAGGGCTAGTTTGCAGTGTTAAGACAACTCGGCTGTTGTTCATTATGGTTCCTCAAGTTTTTATTCCTGTACTTTTGCTTGAGAACTTGGTGGCTGCCTCCTCAGACCTGGAAGACTGCTCGATTTAGTTCTCCTCTTCATAGGTTTTGAGCTGAGAACACTTTAGCCTCTTTTTCCATGAGCATGGCAGGCCCCTTCTACCGAGGCTGTTTCAAAAGCACAGTGAGACTGCAGGAGCGTTCACTTCACTTTTCTCACCCACATCAAACTTAGAAAATGTCCTGTGCACAAAACTAGTCATGTGCTTGGAGCACTTTAGTTTCTAAGTTCCTATATAACTTCCAAAACCTCTTCTGAATTTATTTCCTCTTGTATAGTCTATAAGCCTGGACCAAGCCTCATTCTTAGTTCACATTGAGAATCAGCAAATCCTCCAAGAAAAGATAATGGACAGCAATTGTCAGCTCATGTGGACAAGTTACTTCACTTTCTGGAATTTTATCTGGACCTCCTTGTCTAAATTTTAAAATATTTTTTCAATGTATCTTCCCCCATCCCCTAGTTACTGCAGAATAATTGCTGGCCTGGCAAACCAACTACAGTATACATGGACATAGAAGTCTGCTCATTACTTTATTAAACATTTAAATCTAAGACAAAAATGAGAAGGTAGATATAGGCCACATAGATCTCTCCTCTCTTCCATTTGGGTAAGGTCTGAAGGGATGAAGAACCTTGTAGAACACACAAATTGGATTCATGGAGGAACCATAGTATGTGAATCTAAGGAATGCTTGTTATACTTACAATCTGAGTTTTAAGTAAACAAGCTCCTTATGACTTTGTTTCATCTATGAAATATGAGGATGTGTGTGTGGAGGTGACACTATCATTTTCCTCTATACTTAATAATGTTACCATGAGAATCAGAGGAATTCATCAATGTAATGCTTTTTATAAGATGAAAACCCTTTACTTGCATAAACAGTATTGAGATAACAACCACAGTGTATTTTGAGAACTAGTGACAATGAAAAAAGGACAAAAGATGGAGAAAGAAAATGAGTAGTCAAAAGCAATTACCAGGATCAGAATGAAAAATGATTTGTATTTGGCTCCTAGGGGTTTGGATTTTCATGTTTGGTCTTATCACTTGTGGGATCATTAATGACTCACTGCAGTGCTTATCTGTAAAATCTGGTAGCTTATATCTTAGATCACAGGATTTGGTGAGGATGAAGTATAAAAGTATGAAGATATTTTTCATTAGAAAATCACTAAACTAAATCATAAGATTTCCCACAGTGGTTTTGCCGACTGCTGCGCAAGCGCAAGGACCCAAGTTCGATCCCCAGTACCAAAAAAAAAAAACAAAAACAAAAACAAAAGAAAAACAAAACAAAAAAAAATAAATCATAAGATTTCCACTCTCAAAGGTGTATGAAATGTTCTAACAATGAGATCAAACAATCACAAGGGAAAGTAATATGTAGATATGTCAAAGTGCGATGAGCAGCACAGAATAGAGAGTGTCATATATCGAAAATACAACTGAATAGAAAAGTAGGTAGAGACAAAAAAATATGAAAAACCTATTCAAGTTATTTTAAGTAATTCTTATTGGTACTTTCTGGGAGTATAATCTGGAGATTATAATCAAATTTAAAATCCAGTAATTCCAATGTACATATATAACCACCCTTAATAGGATATATTTTTCTTCCTAGCTTTTTTCTATGGATGTCTCTACATAGATACATGTGAAGATAAACACAAAATAGATATAAATGGAATACATTCATATATAATTCTATAAATAAAAAATTTGCCTATATTCCCACAACCCAGAGATACTGAAATCATAATGGTGCATACTCTGTCATTTTATAAGACAGATCATGAAGCACAATTTTGTCATCTTATTTCCAAAATTCTTGATTAATGGCAACATACTAAATTATGAACGAATCATTACTCATATACCATTAGATATTCAAATTGCTCATAATTTTTTAACATTGTTTTATAGGATCTTTCCTAAAAACAATGAAGCTATTGTCCTATCATAAATTACTTAAGACAGAATATAATAATTCTGACCACTGTTCCAAGCAAAGCCTCCCAAAAGGATATGACCTTTCTCTATATTTGTACATTTGCACTGATGATAAAATGCATGTAGAAGATCTCCTGCTTGATTTCCTTTGGAGGGGGGAATCCTGCTTGCTCATCCTTTTTCAAACTAATCTATTTAGAGATTCTCTATTACAGGCTAATCTGGTAGGTTGACCTAGCAATTATAATTATTGTTTTTCCTCTGTCCTTCTGGTATATTTATACCTTTAAAAGCTTTATAACCTATTCCGCAAAAATAATGTTTATAATATATAATTATTTAATAAAATTGTGATCTTGTCTAGAAAATGTATGCCATATCTGGGATATGATCTTCCTCACAATACCTAGGAAAGCTTGGCTCTTCAACTTAATAGTCTCCTGAACATAAGTGCTGATATAAAATGACATTAAACTTTTCAAAGGCATTATACATTTACTACATTTATGATTTTGACCCTCCATAAAATTCTTTAATAAATAGTATATTACAACTTCTGAGTGAAGAATTTATGTTTATTCCATGTTTTGAATATTATAACATTAAGTTTTCCTAAATCTAATGAAGGCTGAGCAATTCTTTGAAGGCTGACTCATGGTTTACAAAATTATTTTGAATGAATTGTTGGATGCACACTATGACAACATATAACTAATGGACAGTTCTCTTACTTAAAGGTTTATTCATGGGTTTTACATTTTATCTCCTAAATGACTTCTTTGATGTTTAATGAGAGGTCTTTCCCTTGAAGGCTTTGCCACAATCTCTGCATTCACAGGACTTCTCTCCTGTGGGAGTTCTGAGTTGTACAATGAGAGTTGATCTTACACTGAAAGATTTTCCACATTTAATACTTTTAAAGTCTCTCCCCTGTATGAATCTTTTAATGTTTAATGAGTGGTGCCTTCTGGATAAAGATTTTCCCACATTCATTGCATTCGTAGGGCTTTTCAATTCTGTGCGTCCAAAGGTTGACTTTTGGCTGAAGCTTTCATAAGGGTTCTCTCCAGTGTGACTTCTTTGATGCACAAGGCATGCTTTCTGGATAAATATCTTCCCACATTCATAGAGTTTCTCTCCACCTTGAATTCTCTACCTTTGATTAAAAGCTTCCTTATGGTGGAGAGTTTTTCCTTGTTGATGGGTTTCAAAGAATTTCTCTGCAGGTTTAGCTTTATCAAGATTAGAGTGGAGGCATAATTTTCAATATGACTTACACCCATTATCTTTCTTACATAGCTTTTGTTTTGACTAAGAAAGTTTAAATTATGTTGAGTACCTTCTCCATGAATGATATTTAGGGAGTCTTTGTCTTATATAGACAAAGTCTGTGCTCAGATACATGATTTTTCTGCACGTTCTGCATTCGTAGCCCCTTTCATCCTTCAGTATTTCCTTGTCTCTGAATGCAGCTTGTCATGGGGGGTTGTCTTGGCTTTCCTTGTCGTTATCTATCCACCCATCAACTTGCCAGACTTCTAGGGAAAAGATATGATGAATCATCAAACTTGTAAGTCTACCATATTATGACATTAAGCCCTAAATGTCACGTGGTGAAATACTATCAACATGAATTAAGTTGATGTGGATGGATCCTCTCCATGTCCCACCACCCCATCTTTCCTGACTGCAAGTGCAAACAAATGCTAGCCCAAGTTAAAAAAAATAATGTAATATGCAGTCCAGCTCAAAAATCAAGAAAATAAATGTATTATGTGACAAAAATGAAGAGGAAATTTAAATTGGGGGGTAAATAAAAACTGAATCTGTATGACTTTGCAGTTGAGATACTAAAGCTCTTATCATGAATGTGGAGTGAATTCCAGACTATAGGGTAAAAATGTGCAGAAAACTGAGCTATCAGTTTAAAGCTGGAAGTCACAAAGACCATCTCTTTTTGTAACATAGGAATTAGAAAGATGGCACCCATTAGATAAGGAAAATGGTAAGAAGAATCAGGAGTTACTTAAGAAATCAGAACTCTAGGCTTGTAAAGTATGTGGGAATACATTCCAAATGCACATTTTAAATATAATCTAAAACCCCCAAAGTTGATAAATTCACCTAAAAATTGGTCCTGCATTAGTGAAGTCGGTCAGCCCCCCATCTAAATAGTTCTGCAGTGATGCTTTTATAGCTTACAGTACACAGAATTTCTATGGAAAAGAACTCTCATTGAAAAGGAGTTCACAGTCAAAATTGTAAATTTCAAAAGGAAATGAACCACAATGAGTTGAAAACTTATGTCCACAGAAAAGTCTACGCATGGATGTTTATAGCAGCTTTATTCATAATGGCCCCAAACTGGAAGCAACCAGGATGCCAAATGTCCTCCCATAGGTGAATGGATAAACAAAGCGGTACATCCATACAATGGAATATTATTTAGCAATAAAAAGAAATGCACTATCAAGCCATGGATAGACATGGAGGAAACTTAAATGTATACTGCTATTTGAAAGAAGCCAGTCTGAAAAGGCTATATTCTGTATGATTTGAACTACATGACATTCTGGGAAAGGCAAAACTATAGAGATAGCAAAAAGAGCTTGCTGGGAGGAAGGTGAAAAAGGATGAAAGGGGAAGCACAGGGGATTTGTAAGTAGTGAAATTATGTATGACACAATAGTGGATTTTTATGCATTTGCTGAAACCCATAAAACTAAACCCAAAGATTAAACCTTAATGTAAAATATGGACTTTAGTTAATAATAATGTATCAACATTCATACTTAAATTGTAACAAGTATACTATACTAATGTAAGATGTTATTACTTGGGGAAACACGGAGGGGGAAAGAGAGGGGTATAAGGAAACTTTTTATATTAGCTAGTCTATTCTGTCAATCAAACTATTATTAAAAAGTCTATTAATTTAAAAAATGTAAAAGGATGGATATATACCCATGAAATCCTTGCCAAAAGAAAGCTGGAATAACTACATTAATTTCAGACAATGACTTAAGAACAAGAAAGATTTTCTGGAACAAAGAACGACATTACAAAATGATAAAATGGTCAGTTCTCCAAGAAGAAATAACAATCCTAAAAGTGTATGTACCTAATAACAGCACTTCAAAATACATGAGGCAAAAATGGATACATCTGAAAGAGAAACAGACAAATCCACAATTATTGTTGGAGACTTCAACACTCTTTCTGTCAATAATTGATAGAACAAGTAGACAGAAAACCAACAGGGATATAGGTAAAGTGAACAGCACTATCAGCCAACTCCATCTAATTGACATTAATTAAAAAACTGCATCCAACAACAGCAAAATACACATTCTTTTCAAGTACATAGGAAACATTCACCGTAAGCCCATTCTGGGTCTTAAATTGTGACAAACTTGTAAGAAATCATATTATATACAATAACAGTATTAAGCCAGAAATCTGTCAGACAAAGACACTTGTAAAATCCCAAATATTTGGAAATTTATATACTTACTTCTAAAAAGTTGTAAAAGAAGTTTAAAGTATTTTGAACAAAATGAAAATGAAAATATGACAAAACTTGTGGGACATAGTGAAAACAGTGTTTGGAGAGACATTTACAGAACTGAATGCATTATATTAGAAATGAAGAAAGATCAAGCAGTACAATATAAAAGTCAGAATGGAAACCAACAAAGTTGAAAACAGAAATGTCCTTGAAAGTGTGAATGGTTAAACAAAGTGTGGTACACCATTTGGTGAATTATTGCTCGGTGACTAAAAGGAAGACACTATCGGTATACACAACAGGATGAATCTCCAGAGAATTATGCTGAGTGAAAAGACCCAAACCCATAGAGTTTCATACCGTATAACCCCATCATATAATATTCTTGAAATGACATAGAAATGGAGAACAAATTAGTAGTGGCCAGAGTTTAAAAGCTGAAGTGGGAGGGAATGGTTGTGGCTATAAAATGACAGTAACAGTGATCCTTGTAGTGATGGAAACATGTTATGTATCTTGACTTTACCCAATGTCAGTGCCCTTGCTGTGATTTGTACTATAGTCTTTCAAGATGTCACCATTGTGGGAAACCGGATCAGGGTACTTGAGGTCTCTATAGTATTTCTGACAAGTGCATTAAAATCTACAATTATATAAAAATTAAAAAGAAAAATTTAAAAAATAGTAAAATATTCCAAAGAGAAGAACAATGGGGGGAAGCAGAATAACAACAACAAAAAAGACAAAGGGGTACAAACAGAAAAGAAATACTAATAGGCCAAAATCCAATATCAATAATTACATAAAATGCAGTAGTCTAAAGGAGGAAAAACACAATAATATCAATTGATCCATAAAAAGCATGTGCAACATTCATGATAAACTCCCAGAAAGCCAGGATTGGAAGGAAACATCCTCAACCCTTAATAGGCCATCTATGAAAAAACGTACAAGTAAAATTTTCTCAATGGTAAGAAAGTAAATGTTTTTATCCTAAGATTAGGATCAAGGCAAGTATGTTGTCTTCCCTACTCCTTGTCAACATTATATTGAAGATATTAGAAGTACAATAAGGCAAGAAAAAGAAGCAAGGGCATCCAAATTGGAAAGAAAAAAAAAGAAACTGTTCTTATTCACAACTACATGATTATTTATGTATAAAATGTCAAGCCATCTATAAAAGAGCTACTAGTACTAATATGTGAGCTATGAAAGGTCCCAGAATACAAAAGCAACACAGAAAAATCAACTGTATATCCAAAAACTTGAATTAATCAATGTGAAACTAAAACAAGTATATGTGCATACACACAATTCAATTACCTTATAAGAACATAAAACACAGGGGTAGATTAAAATATTGTAAGACCTGTCCATTCAAAACTGCAAAATATTACTGAGATAAAATTTAAAAGACCTAAATGGAGAGATATACCCAATTTATGAATTAGAAGACTCAATATTGTTAGCATATCAGTGATCCACAGAGTCAATGCGATCTCAAACAAAATCCTTTACAGGTTTTTTTGCAAAAGTTGGAAAGCTGATTCTAAAGTTTATAAGAAATATCAAGGACCTAAAATAGCCAAAACATTATGAAAAGAAAAACAAAGTTAGAGGACTCCTACTACCCAATTTAAGCACTTAATAAAAGGCTATAATTAAGACAGTGTGGTAGTGGCATACAGATTGACATGTGTTCAAATAATTTTCAAAAAGAATTACAAAGTAAATTAAGAATAGCCTTTTCAAAAATGTTACTGGCACAATTGGAAATGCATATACAAAAAATGACATAAAGGAATATTGATCCTTACCTCACACCAGATATAAAAATAACTCATTTTAAGTCTATAAGAACTAAAATAGATCTCCTGGAAGAAAATATGAAAAAAATTTTGTTATCCTGGTTAGAGATTTGTTACACAGGACACAAAATGTATGAGCATAAAAGAAAAATTTGATAAACTGAATTTCATTAAAAAATAAAAACATGGTTTTTGAATTTTAAAACAAGCCATAGCCCAGGAATAAGTAATTGGAAAACACACAGGTGCTAAGGACTTATAAGAGAATATATGAAGAACTCCCACAATTTAATAACAAACATCACAACAGATAACCACAGAAGATATACAAATGGCAAATTCGCACATGATAACATACTCAACATCACTAATTATTACAGAGATGCAAATTTGAATCACAAGGCAATCCTCCTACACCCATACTATAAAGGTGTGCTGTTGGTGAGGAAACAAAATAGTATATAGTCACATTGGAAAATAGTTTGGCAATGTCTTACAAAGTTAAACATATGCTTACCATTTGACTAAGCAATCCCAGTCTAGATAATTACCCAAAATATATGAAAATATAGGTCCATACAAATACAGTACCTGTATAAAGCTTCATTCAAAATAACCAAAAACAGGAACAATTCAAATGTGCTTTAACTGGTCCACTGACAAACAAACTGGAACACTACTCAGATAAAAAAGGAGCAAAGTGCTGATACATGCCACAACATGGATGAACCTAAAAAGCATTAAAGTAAGTGAAAGAAGTCATTTATGACTCATTTATATGCTACTGGAGAAAAAACTAAACTAGAAGGAAAAGAGATGATGTTTGGGATGGAGAGAGATGTTTAATTATAAAAAGAAACAAAGAGGTTTGGGGACTGATGAAAATGTTCAATATTTTGATTGTGGTTGTGGTTACATGAACCTAGAAAAGGGGAACTTCATGGTATGTCCATCATACTTCAATAAATCTCACTCTAAAAAAGCAACACAGTAACATCAGCATATATATGATGAACAAAGAAAATACATATAGGGAATTATGCTAGAATATTACCACACATATAACCAAAGAATACATTGTGCCAAAATACCTCATATGTGCAATGATAAAATACTAACAAACACTGAAGTCTTAATGATATGCCCATGGAGGTATTAGGGGTGAAGAATACTGATCTTTGAAAATTACTTTAAAATGCATTGCAAAAAGCTTAGGGTGAATTGATGGAATGACAGAAATTGGCAGATAAGACATACAGGAGAAAAATATAGTGAAATGTTCATTGTTGAATCTAAGTGGAGGTATTATATGGCCCTCCAATCTATAACTTTTATTTGTTCTCTATGAAACTTTTCCTAATAAAATGTTGAGGAAAAAAGCTAGGTGAATAACTGCAATGTAAATCCAAACTAAGTAGAAAAGAGAAATAAAAAGACATACCAACAAAACAGAAGAGAAACAGCAAAATTAATAAGGCAAAAGTTGTTTCTGTAAAAAAGATCAACAAACTTCAAATAAGTTTCAGAGTTTGCATTACTACATAAAATTGGACAGTTATTATTACTACAATGAGGTTATTCATGAGATGAACGGTCCCTAGAAGACTTTTGTCTCAGAATGACCAGGGAAATGCCAGAGTTCATTCATGGATGAGGAAAATCACAGTCCATGAAAGAGATTTAAGTATGGAGCAATGGGGCAGAAATTGAAGTTGCTTTTCTGGTTCTACCCCAGGATTTCAGAGTGTTGTCTAGGAAAGAGTCTCCATGCTCCTGGATGATGGTCTTGCAGTATTCTCCCATTTCTTTGGAATCTCTCTCCTCAGTTATTTCAAGCAGAGTATCTTAATTAGGCATGGGCATGAGACTTTCTAGAATGTTACTCAAACTACACATAACCTGGCCCCCACTAGGCTTTCTGAAACAATTTCTAGGAGTAGGGTCCTCTCATGAGTATTCTGAGAGTTCCACAAGTAATACATCTCCTAGTTAACAATCATTACATGAAAAAAAACCCTTCCATGTGCATACAAAAAAAGAGATAACTTCCTCAGAGCTTTCTTTATGCCAGGAACCCTTTTAGGTGTTTTACATACAGCAACTCATTAACTTCTGAAAATCATTAAGGTTTATCATTAGCTTCATTCCATAATAGGTGGACAGAAGCAAAGCAATGTGTTCAGATGACAGAGAAGTGGCCAGAATTTGAACACAGGTTGTGTGGTTCCAAGGGCCATACACTTAGCCACTTGCACGTGGATGTATAACAAACCTTCCTCTGACCAGGTCCAAAACAATTAATGCAGTATTTATTGAATGGCTTCCACCAGCCTGACACTGGGGTGAATTAGAACAAGTTGTGCTCTGATCTTTAAGGATTTGTGTTCTAGATAGTGAAAAAAGCTATGGGCACTTAGCTAGATTTTTTAGTTACCACATGGAATGAGAAAATAGAGGCTATATTAAACTTAAAAACATAACAATAAAGGAAATAAAAAGAATTTAACAAATATGAAGAGCTGAGGAGAGGTCAGTCAAAGGGTAAGCCAAAACTCTATTATTCATATAGGATATATAAAACTGAATTCAAGAAATGGAAGTATAAAAGCATTTTGTAGGCCCATGGACGTGTTCACCAGGACTGAAAATACTGTAGAAAGTTTAACAGGCTGCCCTTGGAAGTATTGGCTGGGAATACCTCTCAGATTAATTTTCATTCTATACTGTTCTGCATTTTGGGGCTGAACATGTGTACACCTTTTAATAGAATGTAGCTTTGAAAATAAGGGCACTGTGACTCAGGAGGGTGGACTGCATCTGAGTATATTTTTATCCCTTTAAGGATACCACTGGAATGAGAACCACATGCACAATCATTACAATTCCAGGTATTGCCAGATATAAGAAAGCATGCCATCAGCACATCAGAAATTCTAGGCATCTATCAGCAGCAGATATAGAACTTCACTGAGCCAGGAGGACATTAAAGCCAAAACAAAACACACCCAGGGGAAGCTGCAGAGCGTCGGGAGCCCCACAGGCCAGCTGCAGAGGCTCTAGAGTGGATGCATTTGCCAAGTAACACTGGGCTCTGGAGAAGCCAGCTGGGAGTCACCTGTAAGTCCGTAGGGCCACAGCTAAAGACAACGGATGCTCTAAGATGTGTGTTTAACAAGCAATGCTTCTCAGCTTTCCTGAGCCTAGAGGTTCCCTGGGACCTTCTTGAAATGCAGATTCTGGCTCTGTAATCTGGGTGGGGGATGCTGAGAGTCTACACTGCCACTTAAGCGTCCTATGTCCAAAGCCCAGGCTGCTGGTCCACAGGCCACACGTTGAAGAGTAAGACTGTTTCAACAGGCTTCTTTGGGATGGGCCCATGGAGAGGGTACCATGAATGGGAGAGAAAGAGATCAAGATTATGGAGTTTCTGGTTCTTCATAGCCAGGCCAGAGCAAAAATAATCAACCAGCCAAGGAAGAAAGCAGCTCTCCCCAGGTCTAAAAGGATCACTGAAGAATTTCACCTGGGGGTAATGGCCTCTCAAGTTTATTTCAATGTTAAATAAATAAATAATGAGATAATACAGAAAACAAAAAATGAGTGGGAAGGAAACACGGATAAGAGAAGGAATCTGATAACAGGCAGTATCAAGTCAGATTTGTAACAATCTGAGAAGAAAGCAAAAGAGAAAACAGAAAGTGTGTAAAAGTTTACAGTGTTTGGCCTCCAAGTGAGGGTAGAAGAGAACATGGTGTGTACTTGTCCTGGCAAAGTTAAAGGTCACTAGCAAAGCTTCCTTGTCCACAGTGACTGCAATACATCTGGTAGGATAATGTCCCTGAGGCTGAAAATGAGTCCCAATTTCACACTGAGAAAACACCAAAGCCCAAGAAAGGAAGAAGTCCCTCAAAGCTCCCAGAAAGGAGGGGAAAGGAACGAGAAGAGGTTTGGCACTTGTCACTAGCAAATCCAAGGTAGAGATGGGATCTCAGAACAAAGCCAGTCTCTGTCTGGACGCCAGGTGAAGAACATGAAGACTGGAAAAGGCTGACAGGTGGTGGCCTCATGTGGGTATGACAACAGCTTATTCACCGGGCCAGAGTCATGTCCACATGTCTGGGGGCTGAGAAGGGCTTCTGTGAGCATCCCAGGGGCCGAGTCCTCACCAACAATCAGGTTCTGCTTTTCTGGCCTGACTCACCTGGTGTGTGCTCACCTGGACAGCTCCTCATCTGGGTTCCTCTGTCTGCCCCCCAGGCCTCTTCTCTTTGTCCCAAGCTGATCGCATCTGGTTGGCCAACTAGATACCCTGCCAGGGGAAATGATAGAGCTCTTTGTTATTAGTGCCGGAGGCTCTCCAGACCAAGGTCCACTCCCCACAGGCTGAAGATGGGGCAGACTCGGTGACTCCCTCACACACACAGCCACTCATCTAGAAGGCGACAGTTCAAGTATCCTGTCCAGCGTCCAAACGGACCAGGAACACTTGACAGTGAGCCTCCCACCCAAGCTCACTGAGGTGTCAACATCCCTGCACTTGCAGCAGGTGCTGAGGGAGACACAAGTGGGGGCATTCTACATCACTCCGTGCTGTGGTCCCTCACCCACGGACACCAGGTGGCTGTAGTTCTCAAGCATGACATCCCTGTAGAGGTTCTTCTGAGCTGAGTCCAGCTGCTGCCACTCCTCCAGGGTGAAGTCCACAAACACATCCCTGAAGCTCAGTGATTCCTGTAACAGCACATTCCTCTTCAGCACAAAGGGATCAGCCTGCAGAACCGGGACATGACACCTCCTACACACTGAGGGCTTATCCTGTGCCTGTCCTTTATGTATACTAAAGAGTTAGATCCTCACCACTACCCTAGGACAAACCTGACAGATGAGGAATGTGAGGTCCACAGAGTAACTATCCCATGCCACAGGGCTTGGAAATACACATTAAAATCCAGGTGATCTGGCCTTGTCACCCCACTTTTTAAAGAACTACACACTTCAGTAATGTGTCTTTTAGTAGACACATTTTGGCAGAGCAGTTTCCCATTATCTGCAGAGGACATGTTCAAGACCCTCAGTAGATGGCTGAATCCATGGATAGTGGGATGATGTAGTGCCTACATGATGAGATGAAATGAGGTGAATGATATAGGCATTGTGCTGTAATGTCAGATTACTACATAAAGGTTATATGAACGCAAAGTCTATGATACTTTGACAGTTGATCTGATTAAACAGAGAGCTACTAAGTGACTAATGAGTGGGTAGTATATACCTTGTGTATATACTAGATAAAAGGATTACTGGTATCCTGGCATGATGAAGCAGGATAGTACAAGATTTCACTACATTACTCAGAATGGTATGCAAGTTAAAACTTATGTTGATTTCTGAGATTTTTCCATTCAAGTTGACTGTGGGTAAGTGAAACCACAAAAAGAAAAGCTGCAGTGTGGTGAGGGACACTACTGAATATAGAATATTTATATAACTAAAATTATTTGAAACTTTATAGAAGTAATGCATAGTGTCAGAAATATCCTACCACTGAAATTCATTCATTTAACATGTATTTACTGAATAGAGACCAAACTCATAAGTCCTGTGGATATAAAGATTAATAAGAAATTGCCAGGTGTGGTGACATATAGCTGTTATTTCAGCACTTGGGAAGCTGAGGCAGGAGGATCACCATGAGTTGAAGGATATCCTGGGCTACATAGTGAGTTTAAAGCCAGCCTGAACTACAAAGCCAGACCCTGTCTCAAACAAACAAACAAACAAAATTCTCCTAAACTCTAAAAGCTTCAATGTAGTAAAAGGAAAAAAACTCAGCAAGTATAAACCATGTAACAGGTGAAAGAAAAATGGACTGATGTATCTAGATAGATAGATAAGCACACATGATCTCTAAAAGAATATATGAAAAACTAAAGGAGGAAGAAATGGGGACAGATTGATAAATTATTTTTCTCCATTTGTTGAACAAAACTTGTTTAAACTTTTTATAATGAGTAAAAATTACTGCAGCAATGCTCAATTAGGTTTATTAATGCTCTATTCAGAATATGGTTTTAGAATTTTGACATATCTTTATTCTTTAGTGAAACTCATCTACAATTTTCTCTTTTTGTAATGCTTTAATCACACAAGCTTAAGTGGATTCGTAGAATGAATTGGATCCCTTTTCATTGTTCATTAGCCTGGGAACCTTGAACATAGAAATTATCTGGTCTTAAAAATTTTTTGAAAGTAGTAATTAGTACAGATTTAGGGCCGACTTGAAGTGCAAACCTTTGACTCAAAACTCCAAATTCCAGGTATAGGCTCCATAAGCACCTGTACCACAGAACAGATATGCAGAAAGTTGTTCATGAGATAGTTTATACCATTAAAAGAAAATTAAAAACCTACATACCCACCAACAGACAAATAACTAAGTGTTATATCCACACTAAGAAACTGGAATTAAACTAATCTTTATATAGTGACAAGGAACACCATTATGAATATAATCAGGTGGTAAAAATGGATATGCCAGGATGAAGGCAGTTATGTATGAACATATAGACATGTGTATAACCATACACACACACATATCTTTGGTTAATTAAAATGACATAGATGTATCTACACCATTATTAACACCCAATGTGTTAACAGTGAGCATCTCTGAGGAAGACTATGGTTACTGGGGGGAAAGAGAAATAGATAATTTTTGCTACTACTTTTGTGTATGCGCATTAAAACATTAAGCACAAATTAATCTTCATTATTTTAATTGTAAGAATAAGCAAAAGGGGTCTGGAAGTGAAGAAAGGCAAATGGCAGAATGAGTGTATATATTTAAACACACATTTAAGGAGAAAAGCAAAGGTGAGGTATAGATTCCAAAGGAAGGAGTGAAAAATTGTCTTTTCTTCTTTGTTTCTCCCCACTGCTGTACATCTGTCTTTTTCCCCTAAGGTAGCCAACAGGTTGAAAAGAAAACAGCCAGAACAGGGGAGATAACTGGCTTACTGAAGCTTGCTATACACATTTCCAAAAGGTGCTCAGGTTGACTGGGAGACAAAGTTGGGGTAAATTAGGAACTCACCTGGGACATGGCCATCCTGCCCTGCTGGATGGAGGTCTACAAAGACAGAATTAGGGAGGTCAATATCAGTGAATACAGCCACAAGAACAATATCACCAGCCTTATAATAGTCATTCTTGCACCCTGGGGAGGTAACGTGGCCTGGTAGCCCAGCCAGTTCCCTTGGCACTCTGACAATCAAGTGGGTTCGGCACATGGAATCTGGTTTTCCCTACTGAACAGCTGTACAACTTGTGTTTAAAGACACCTCTTTTATCTCCAGAATTCAATTCCTAGAAATTTGTCATGAAGCTGAAAAGAGGTTCACAATGGTCACTGCCACCATTAAAAAATCTGGAAGCAACTAAACCTAGAAAAAGGTGACTGTTAAAACAAAAACCAAAACATGACACAAAAATGGGCATGCTGCATAGCTTTAAAAATGGTATGGAGCTTTTAATGTTTAACATGTTTAAAAGCAAGTTTAAAAAAATGAGGGCAGTGTGTTCCCATTTGTCCTAAGCAATATGTACATATATGAAGTCCAAAAGAGCATTTATTAAAATGTTGACATTGGCTACCTTTGAATGGTGATTTCAATTTATTTTTTATGTGTATATCATGTTTATTTAAAGAATATTTATTAGTTTCTGTAATCAAACCCATGTAGATAAGACCTTACATATTTAATACAGTGAATTACCCATGTACAAATGGAAGAAAATTAGGTTTAACGTTTCTATACCAATATGGCTGTTAATTTCTGTACAATGCCTACTCAACATGGTAAACTGGAATAACTTTTTCTAAAGTTGCCAGCACAGTTAAAGTTTCCAAAAATTCAATACACACACACACACACACACACAATAATAGCAGTATGTCATACATCAATAGCGGCAACAGCTTTTCCAGGTTCTGCAGTCATCTGAAAAAAATTGTAGACATTCAGCACACTCCATTAAAAAAAAAAGAAAGAACAAAAATACTCAGAAAACAGCAAAGTTCTGTTACTGTTGTGGTACTTGGCTCCATTTTTTTTATTAGCTTCTTAATCATCACCTGAAAAGAAAACATTCTAGAATAACATCATTAAAAACAGCTCTGATAAAGTAGTCACAGCTATGTATCATAAAGCAGGTACAAGATATTTTACATTCATACAAGTATGATACAGTATTGTCCTACATCTATAATACTAGAGGATACAATAAAAAGGCATTATTTCAGACTTGATTCTACTTTTCCAGCAGAGGGCCCAAAGGATGATATGACACAGCTCTGTAAGAAATGGACTTTCTTAGATAGGATTTCCTTCCATTAATGGCACAATTTAAGTACTCACTGTCTTCATGAACATCAGCTAAAAACTGTTTTTAAAAGCCTAGGGGTAAAAACAAAACAACAAAAAAAAGGATTCACACGAAAATGAATGAGTGAAAGCAAGCAAGACTCAAACCAGCAAGTACTTTATCAAATCTGTCACGTTAGAAAGGTAAGAGCTCCACTGAAGAAAGGAGATGCCAAAGTGTATTATCTCATTTTTGACAATGGATATTAATTACTACCAAAATAAAAGTTTAAAATGATTAGAAACCATCTATTATCACAATGAGTCTTAGAGGTGAAAAGACCCTCAGCAAACTGGATGAGAAGGATCTGTTGATGTGGTTCAGGGGAAAGAGACTAAATGGGGCTGAGGGAAAGGTGAATTGAGGGCAGGTGAGTCTCAGCCCAGCACTATCAGTTTTATATGGAGCTGGAAACCGCTGTACTTGCCCTGCTGCCCCTCCATTCTTCATTAGCCTTCTAGCTACTTTCTTCTCCCTGCCCCATCACTGCTTCCTTTCCTACCATTTGCTTTGATTGCCACACTCTTCCTTGTTTGGTAGTTATGAAAACAAAACTTCAGCAAGAAGCTTCATGCAGAATAACCATTTAAACCACAGCAATCACCACAGGAGCATCAGGATGACACAGTTCACCTCCATGCTGCTTAACAAACCACAAAGCACATTCTTGGCCCCAGTTGCAGAAAGCATCAAAAGGAGAGAACAGAATTGGGTGGAAACAAACCTGGGGACTACTCTGAAGTTCCAAAGTCTAAGAATATAAAATATTACTTTCTGCACCTTGGTCAGGATGGAGGGAGATCCAGCATGGCCCTGGAGGCAGGTGCAATGTTGATGGTAAGGGACTAAAATCCAGAAAGACCAACGGCAAGAGAAAGGAGTGTGATGCTGTGCACTTACACGGGCTAGGAGGGGAGAATGCTCTGTGGCTGGATGTGGCCCTTCCCAGCCTCATCCGGCCCTGGCAGCCACCACGGTGGTACAGCTGCCCCATCCATGCCTCCATCCACCTGAGACTTTCATCTCTCTCTCCCACAACAGGAATCAAACTGCCCACAGGAACACAGTCCTTGCGGGTGCCTGCAAATTCAGCCAGCCTTGCTCTCTCTCAGCTGAAGAGAGGAACTACTGTCCTGTGAGCCTTCTGCCTCTGCCCCAAAGTTCTGGGGTCTGGGCTGAGGCTTCTCCCACATGCCTCAAATAAGCTCTCTTGTTCCCAGAGCCAAGAGACTCAAAGACAAGTTTGGCTCAGCTAGGGCCATTATTGCAGCAGATCTCTGCCTCCCACCGAGAACTTGTCTCCTGTGGCCACAGGCAGGGGCTTCTCAAACTAACAGATGAAGCTGGGGTGTAGATAGGCTGGAGTCTGAAGTTGGTGAGCAGTGGTCTCAGGTATGCACTTTACCCTGGAAACACCAATAACCACAGAAGGTTCCATGAGCACCCCCTAGGCTACCCTCCTCGGGGCAAAGCTGAGTAAGCCCTAAAGGTTTTATTCAACAAAATGTGGTACTGTGCCTCATTTGAGTTTCAAGGGTTAACAGGACTCAGCTAACACCACCGAGCTTAACACTGCAGTATAAGGAGTCCTGGCCTGGAACAAACTGAGCCTGCTGTGCCACTTGTATTCATTTAAGACACAAGTTGAGTGCCTACGATTTGGAAATGCGTCAGTGAACAAAATCTCGATTTCTCTGCTCCTTCAGAAATTACAACCTAACAAGGGACCAGACAAGAAACAAAAAAAACATGATAAATAACAGAGTACATTATAAAAGTATAAGGGCTACGCAGAAAAGAAAAGGATCCGTCGGATTTGTTACCTACGTAATTTGGGACACCTGTCCACCTCTCTGTTGCTTGTTCAAGGTCTGCAATGAAGCTAATCGCAGCACCACCGCACCGGACTACCCTGAAGATGAGTGTAAAACACCTGCCTCAGAGCCTGGCCTCTCCATGACACCTAAGAAGCAGGCGCATCAACCTATTCACCACTCGCTTATCCGCTAGCCTCGACCTTAACACTCAACCCCATCGCCCGTGTCTCTCGACCCGACTGGAACGCTTCTCAGCGAGGCTAGCCCTCCCCATAAAGCCCACCACCACCCATCCCCTTACTTCTGCGTCAAGGCCCCAAAGATCAGCTGCAGTGGAAAAACAGCCTGTATGAGCAGGTTCCGCCCTCCCCTGTCCGTCGAGCACTTCCGCTTCCCGTCACCCCCCCCCCGTACCGGACATCACTGCGCAGCGCACGCGCAATAGCTCCAGAGAGGGACGTACCACCGCCAGTGGGAACGTGAGTTCTCTCAGTGTTTCTGGTCCTCACAATATTGCTTTGAGGAGAGAAGGAACGATAAGAGTGTACAAAAATTTTCCGAGGCGAGTCGTACTAAAGGCTAGAGAAGGTGACACTAGGTAGGCAGAGGGGAGTAGGCGCCGCGCAACTAACATAGGCCCCACTCCACCCACTCCCAAACCGAACCCCCTGTCCCATCTGTGGTCCGTCCCTGAAGTCAGGCCTCCGCCCCTTTCGCTAGCGGGAATTCTAAAAGGAAGGTCGCACCCTTCAACTGGGGCACCGGGGTGGGGGGGCCTTGTAGGGGCAGGGACGGGATGGGGCGGGGTTCAGCCTTTGAGTCCAGATACCAAGGGTTCTGGCTAGGGCGGGAAGATGCTTGGAGGAGGAGCTTTGGAGCTGGGCTCAGGTCCAGGATCCTCCCAAAAGGAGGGAAGAAACCCTGGTGCCTAGTTCTCTTCCAACAGGTGGAGGGGCTCTGGCACAAATCTGGTTTCTACGCTTGTGAAAATGCATTGGAAAGTAGCAGAGAGCAGTTGTCCTGAGCCTGCCAGCCAGTGGCAACGTGGCCTTGAGGAAAGCTTTTCAGTATGTCAGTCTAGGAGAAAGAAGCCAAGTGTGTCTCTGTGCTTGCGCCCGCTTGGTGACAAGCAGGCCCCCTTGGGTCAGGAATGGGAAAGTCTTAGCCCAGGTACACAGCAATACTTTCTGTACTAAGCACTTTTCACAGGTGCATCTGTGACAGATGATCCTGGAATGTGTCAGACATTTAATTTCCTCGCGGACACGGCTCTGTCTGTTTCCCTTTCCCTCGGCAATGTTACATTTTCCATGTGGTTTGGATGAGTCGCAGCCCATCACTGCAAATTCAGTACACTGATCTCCTGGGAAACGAACCTAAGTCTCAGAAAATGAGCTTCTGTTCCTTTGAGCAGGACAGTAATGAATTATTGACCACTGCATTTCCTGTGCATGTTTTCATGATGGCCAGGGTTAGAGATGCTGACCTATTTATTTCTAGAGGAGTGGTGACCAGATAGCCACCTTTTCAGAGATAGCACCCACTAGGAAGTGGTTAACAGTGTTATGATGACAAGTGTCCAGAGGGCAGTAGACACACCCCAAGCTGCAGAAGCATCTGGTCTGAGGCCCTTGCTAGGCTCTCCCCATATCCTGATGCTGCAGAACAGGTGCTTGCACAGCAAGAAGAGGGACTTAGAAACTATGAATTTAGGGACACATGAATGGGTTTCTCCAGACTGGGCTGTTGGGATCTATTAATCCAGTGGGGGAAATGGCTTGGATCTACTATTTAGTGATCCCTTGGAGTTTGGTCTCTTCTTTTCTTCACAGCTGAGGATCACTTGCCCTCAAAAGCCTGTGTTATCATTCAAAGGGCCATCTCTAGAGCTCCTAGCCCAAAACACCTGGTAAATGGTGTTGGTTTCCATTGTCCTCTCATATATTATATGGAATGTATTGGTGAAGTTGCTAGACCTTACCATCCTATGGATTTTCCTTTTACCATCTCCTTGCACAGTTTTGCCTGTGGCTGGCTCCAGCCTTGCCCAGGATCACCACTTATATTCAGCTGCAAATATTTTGTACTCTAGAATTTAGGCTTCTTATTGAGTTGAAATGCATCTGTTTTATTCCTGACACTATATTATCAACTATATTGATATCCAGCTTACAGTTTGTTTTCAAAACTCAAGGAGGGTAGACCTTCTGAAATCGAGGTTGATCCTACTTTCACAAAACGACTTGTCAGTTCATATATCAGGAACTTCCAGACCCATGCAGCCACTACTGGTGGGCATTGCCAGGCCTTTGCCCCATTGGAGGAACAAAGGTCCAGAGTAATTGCACTGCACAGCAGCTGGGTCATGTTGCCTTTCTTGCTGTGATGTAGTGTTCTGCTGAGACTCTACATTATCACCTGTTCCTGGAGGATTTTCCTCCAGTGATTTTTGTGACAGGTTCTCAGGTAATGTTCTGATGATGTCCCACTCTTCGATCTGTGAGTTGCTGTAGGAAACAGGAGGCTCCACAAAGGCTCCTCTCCTGGTTGGACAGCATTGCTCTCTTTCTGGCCGCTCCTGTGGATTTCCAGAGAGAGGAAAGTATCCAGACTTGTGTGAAGCTGGAATGGACAATAGGGTGCAGTGGTTTGAATGTGTTCCCCAATGTTTATGTGTTGGAGTCTTGATCACCAATGCAACATTGTTGAGAGGTGGGACATTCCCAAGTTGATCAGTTCTTAAATGGATTAATGTCATTATTGCAGGATTAGGTTCATTATTACAATGGCAGCTTTGTTATAACATTCAACCCTCTCTTGTTCTTGCTTTTTCATACTCAGATGTCCTTCTGCCTTCTGCTGTGGGATGATGCAGCAAGAAGGCCCTCACTAGATTCTGAAAAGATCCTGTTGCCGTGTCTTTGGACTCCCCAGCTTCCAGACTTGTTAGCTAAATATATTTCTTGGTTTTACACATTCCTAAGTGAGATATTCTGTTATTGTCACACAAAATGGACTAAGACAAAGGGGATGGGGAATCCTTCTCAAGGGAACTGATTGACAGGTTCAAAACAGTAGTTTGAAGCCAATCCTGTGACTGCCTGGTGACTCTGAGTTAGAGCTCTAGACTTTGGGTGACTGTGCCCATTGTTGAGAAGTATATACACCATGATAAACACCAAAGGAGGAGGTTTGCAGGTAGGCCCCAGGTGACCCTTCTTTTGAGGTTTCCTTTTGTTCTTAGAAGGGGATATAGGAAGCCAGAGTATAATACGATGTAACATGTGCTTGGACCTTTCTAGTAGTATGTGATTGGTATTAATTTCTTTAGTTTCAACTTACTAGTATGCTCCGTATTAGTTTACCCTCTATTACAGATAAGGAGATTGATGCCCACACATATCAGGCAACTCACCCAAAGCTTCAACTGCTCATAAATGAAATCAAGATTTAATGTGGGGCAGTTTGGCTCTAAAACTCACACTATTGACTTCTACATCATTTTGTGGCCATTGGAGCACATAGTTTAAGAAAAAGATGAGCGTGATTACACAGCTTCCTCAATTTTGTACACTCAGTAAGTGGCAGGACTAAAAATAGCACCTAGATCTCCTGACTCCCAATTCCATTCAACATTTGTCTTATCCCAGGTCCTCTGGAGCAATACATCTTGGACTTGATGGCTTATTGGAATCCCCTTAGAGATCTTGTTAAATTGCAGATTCTGGTTTAGTAGCTGTATTGTGGGTTTGCTAGTCTAATAAGTTCCCAGGTAATCCAAATTTTCTGGTCCTCAAGACACACTTTGAGTCAGAACAAGGCTCTAGCAGGGCTCTAGTTTATCAGCTGTACCTTCCAAATACAACTTCCCTAAACACACAAGGAAATATGGATATTAAGGGGTGAGGAATAGGACTGGTTTGGTCTCTGAATCTCACTTCTGATATCCCTCAACAAGTTCTTTCTTGGGGAGAAGAGTCTGAGGCCTAGGGAAGGAAAAGGTGATTCAGAGAGGTGTTAGCAGGCAGGATCTAGGACTCATTCCATGTAACTTCTCACCAATGTCCTTTTCCTTGTCCCTGCTTCTGTTGCAGGGGCTTCCAGGGAGGAGAGTAGTGAAGCAGTGGGCACTGTTCAATGTCATATTATTAATAACTTCATAGGAAAACCAGACTGATCTCTATCTTTGGGCCTTCTTGTCCCCTTACTCCATGCCATATTAAACACTGGATTTAACTTCCACGGAAGACCCAACTGTACTGAGCCAAGGAAATTTAAAAATAGATCTTCTCATAGGCCTGCATGCCCATGTAGGTGTCACCCTGGAGGAAATGTAGCTACAAATATCTCTAAGATGCTCAGATAGTGTTTGTAAGCCCAGTTGCCTATTACTCCCAGGGTCTTTCAGTAACTAGATGCACACCACAACTTTTAAAAAACTTTTATTTTTATTAGTACATGTTTGAAGTACAAAGTGAGTACATTTATCATTAGTAGTTGTTACATATACATAACACATCTTAATTCTCTTCATGACCACTTCTGCTTCCCTCCTTTCCTCCTACCCCCATTTCTTGATCCCCTTCACATTTGCAAGAGATCTATTTTCCTGTTTCCTAATATCCATCTTTTATTTTGCTATTTACTTTATTTATAATTTAGGTTTCTTATATAAGAGAAAGCATGTGATATTTTAGCTTGTGTGTCTGATTGATTTCACTTAACTTTATGATCAAAATGCATCCATTTTCCTACAGATGACTCAAGTTTATCCTTCTTTGTGTCAAAGTAGTACTCCATGGTGTATAAGTACCACATCTTCTTTATCTATTCACCTGTAGGTGGACATATAGGCCACTTCTAAGATTTAGCTATTATGAGTTATGCTGCTATAAACATCGGCATTCATTCATCACTAAATATAATGTCTATAACTCTTTCTAGAAGATACCCAGAAGGGGAATAGCTAGGTCAAATAGAATTTCTATTTTTAGTTTTTTAAGGAATCTCCATGCTGATTTCCATAGTGGTTGTATTAGTTACATTCCCTCCAACAATGTGGAAGGGTTCCTTTTTCCCTCCAGTCTTGCCAGCATTTATTATTATTTAATTTCTTGATGATAGCCGTTCTTTCTGGGGTAGATAGAATCTCAGTGTTATTTTTATTTGTGTTTCTCTATGGCCAGAGATGTTGAACATTTTTCACGTATTTGTTGACCATTTCTGCTTCATCTGAGAAGTGTCAATCCACTTCACTTGCTCATTTTTATTGGGTCCTTTATTTTGGGGGG